ATTAAGATAATATTAATTCATGTTTCAGAACGGAAAAAAAAAATAGATTAAAAAAAACTGAAGTTGAAATTTTTTAAATAGAACATATGTCAAATTCTATTGCTGATTTTTTTTTTTTTTTCAGCTTGAATTTTTTCTTAATTATTTAATCTTGATTTAACCAATCAAATTAAATTAACCTGATTTTTTTTTATTCTATAACTTACATTTTTGGATCTAACTTTGTGAACATTGAAAATAAATATACTGGTATTCAAATTGTGTTATGTAATTTCTTGGAGTATCTTTAAGTGTTTCATATCCCTAAAATCTGTACAAACTGAGATAAAAGGTTATGAAGGTCAATAAACCATAATAATTAATAAAATTGTTGAAACTGTCATTTTTAAAAAAAAATACAAAAATCTTATTTTTTTCATCAGATTTTACAAAATAAAAACACAAAACATATTAATCATAAAGGTTTTGTAAATCGTAAATGTCTTTTAAACATGCTCATTTTTAGAGTGCAAAGGGCTTGAAAAAGATCCATCATTCATTTTTTTGGCACCATGGTGAATTTTTGCAACACGTGCTCAGTAACGCATTACAGTCATTACAAGCATCCAATGACAGAAGCCTCAGCTTTCTGCTGCAAAAAGAATGAATGCTCAGCTATTATGGTTTTCATTGTGCCACCGCGCCAGCAATAGCAGTAGCCAGAGGCAATATGTTTTCAGGTTGTCTGTCCTATTCAAGTGAATGCGATATCTCACGAACCCTTTAAGGGAATTTCTTCAAATTTATAACAGACACCCCCTTGGACGATGAACTGATTAGATTTTGGTGTTGCAGGTCAAAGGTCAAGATCACTGTGACCTTGCGTGTGTCATTCCTGTGAACACCATTTCTCAAGAACACCAGGAGGGAATTTTTTCAAATTTGGTACGGATGTTTACTTGGATTGAATAATGAACTGATTCGATTTTGGTGGTTGAAAGTCAACGTCACTGTGACCTTGTGTATGTCTTATTTTTGTGAACACATTACCTGCAGTACACCTGAAAGACATTTCTTCAGACTTGACTCAAACGTCCACTTGGACTGAAGAATAAACTGAATAGATTTTGGCGGTCAGTGGTTAAAGGTCAAGGTCACTGTGACTTTTTAGCCATAGCTCAAGAATTCTTATGCTAATTATAACAATATTTCATATAGATGTCTAACAGGCTACAACGATGAACTGATGATATTTTATATTCAAAAGGTCAGAGGTCAATTTCACTGTGACATCATAATGTTCTACAAAAACATTTCTGCCCATCAACATCATATCTCAGGAACAGAAGGGAAGACATTTGGTCAGGTACTGAATTGGTGACTCTAATCTTGAAACTGTGCTGACTGTATAGATCTTCTGTGTGTGAAGCATCCATGTTTTCACAGACATGGATGTAAACTAAGAGAAACTGTAGGGGCACGCATACGTGAGGCGGTAATTCTAGTTTCAGATCTATTTAAACAGGATCGTGCAAAAAACAATCTCCAGTGGCCGTCTGCAAGATGTCTATTTTGAAAGGGTTAAGTATTCACTGGCTGTTTAAATTCAAAAATTCTTTTATTTGCTCTCTCTAGATTGGGCCTGGCCCAATCTGCCAGGTTCAGGCTGTGACGGGCTATAAATACTCAACATTCCCCCATGCTTCAATCGGGTTGGGTTACTGCTAATTTCCATATTTCTATAGGAATTAACAAATGCTTAAATTTTATTTTCATTGCACTTGGAGCTCTGGTGCTTCGTCTCCTCAGACAGAGTGCCCAGAGCCTCTGCCGCTGGTGTTCTGTAAATGGTAAACTGTGCTGCAATACTCAGAGTGACTGTTTACAAAAGCACCCAGTGTCACAAATGTCTGTTACTGACTGGTTGATTTGTTTACAAGTATACATTATTTACATTTTTTTCTTATGTTTTCCAGGTATTGTGCTTGCTGACATCATTGAGAAGTACTTTGTTTCGCCAACGCTGTTCCGAGTGATTCGACTGGCTCGTATCGGAAGGATTCTGCGTCTCATCAGAGGAGCTAAGGGCATCCGGACGTTACTGTTTGCCCTCATGATGTCCCTTCCTGCTCTGTTCAACATCGGGCTCCTCCTCTTCCTGGTCATGTTCATCTACGCAATCTTTGGCATGGCCAATTTCGCTTACGTGAAACGGCAGGCAGGCATTGACGACATGTTCAACTTTGAGACATTTGGGAACAGCATGATCTGCTTGTTCCAGATCACCACATCTGCCGGCTGGGACAGTCTGCTTAGCCCCATCCTCAACAACTCCCCTGAGGAGTGCAACCCCAACATCCCCCACACTGGCACCACCGTCAGAGGAAACTGTGGGAACCCGTCGGTGGGCATCACCTTCTTTGTCACCTACATCATCATCTCCTTCCTCATCGTGGTGAACATGTACATCGCCATCATCCTGGAGAACTTCAGCGTGGCCACGGAGGAGAGCACCGAGCCGCTGAGTGAGGACGACTTTGAAATGTTCTATGAAGTTTGGGAGAAGTTCGACCCTGAGGCCACACAGTTCATCGAGTATGCCAAGCTGTCCGACTTTGCCGACTCGCTGTCAGAGCCGTTGCGCATCAGCAAGCCTAATAAGATCAAGCTGATCTCTATGGACCTGCCCATGGTCAGTGGGGACAAGATCCACTGCCTGGACATTCTCTTTGCCTTCACAAAGCGTGTCCTGGGCGAGTCAGGCGAGATGGATGCCCTCAAGCAGCAGATGGAAGAGAAGTTCATGATGGCCAACCCGTCCAAGATCTCCTATGAGCCAATCACAACGACTCTGAGACGTAAACAGGAAGAAGTCTCCGCCACAGTGATCCAGAGATGCTACCGCAGACACCTGGTGAGGCGGCAGATGAAGGCCGCCTCCTACCTGTACCGCCAGATCACCACACCTCGGCACGCAGGAGATGAAGGTGAAGAGGGAATTTTTGGGGAGGATGCACCTGAGAAAGAAGGGCTTATTGCCGCCATGATGAGGGAGAACTATGGCTCGAGTCTGTTAGGGATGGAGCGCTCTGAGACAATTTCCTCCACCTCATCCCCACCGTCGTACGACAGCGTGACGCGAGCCACATCAGAGACCTTTCACCCGCTTGCCGTCAAGACAGAAACAATAGCTGCTGACACCGCGGGCAGCGAACCCAGTGAACAATCATCGTCGTTGGTTGACACTGACAGACAGCAGGAAGCTGTACCATAGCAGGAACCAAAAAAGCAAAAAATCTAACAAATGAGGATGTCCTCGATTTGGGTTTGTTCTTTTGTTTACTGAATGTACCATAGCTGAGGAACGCTGAGGAGGCGGCGGAGAGAAGCTATGAGCAAGGAACTGCAGGAGGAGTCAAGTGAAGGAGCAAACAAAGTGGAATATTTACTACCTTTAATGTTATTTCCTGTTCCCCGTGGAGATTCCTGGACTCAACTTGTTTTCAGAGTTTCTTAAAGGGAAGCAGAAAAACTGCAAAGACAGAGAGGGAAACCCCGTCTGTCAAGTCAACTCTGCCTTTGCTGGAGTAAAAGACAGAAGATCCCTGTGACCTCATGGGTCTCTCATGTCGACCGGAGCCGAGGGTTCGGAACACTGACTGACTTTTGACCTCGGCTACAGGGGGTCAGAGGGGTCAAAACAACTATATCAGATGTATCCATCATTTATTGGCCTGGGGGGTTTACGCCCTCCCACAGTTGATCAATATTCTCAGAGTACGCCTGGCTATAAGAGTGACGGTGTTCCTAGTGGTGTTTCTCGACAGTTGACGGCTTTCCGACTGACTGAGACTCGAGAGAGGAGGGAAAATAATGACAACGTGATTTAAAACATGTTTTCGTAGTAAAAGTATAACTTTGTTGATGTTACCAGTCTTTTAATAGCGGTACGATTATTACTATTTTTTATATTTTTTAGAGTAAGTTGAAGAAAAAAAATAAGCAGTCTCTCTCTTTCGACTTTGGAGTGGCACTAGCTATGAGAAAGTGGCTGAACTACCATGTTGTAATAGATGAAAGAAGAGGGTGCGGTCAGGAAAAAAAAAAACCCTGAAAAGCAACTTCATCTGTTTTTGTTGGCAGTTTTTGCACCTTTAAGTTTACATGTGCTGTCACTTTACTGCACCTGGGCAAAGACACATTGAAAAAGGGGACAGGGATGTTTCTATTTTTTCTCTGAAAACCTTTGAGATAACACCAAAAAAAAAAAAATCTAATACAAGTGCACAAAGAGATTTTCTACATAGTCCCAGACTCTTCCAACATGTGTTTTGCCCTGGTGGTGAACATCCTCATCTCTGTCAGTTTTTACGCTGGTGGGTGATTTGTCTAAAAGTCCTTCTGGAACTTCACGGACAAAATGGAACAGAAGATTTATATTCCTGCTGCATTGCTGCACTGCATGAGGAAGAAATCAAAGGTTACTGGCAAGAATAAAGTGCTTCAATATGATGTCAAAAGTTTAGTTAAATCGAATTAAACTTAAGTTTATTGATATTGTCTTCACTCAGAATTCCAAACAATTTAATTAAACTTTGCTCAAAAGATGTACAAGTCTATTTATGGAACAAGATTCATATCATAACTACAGAAGCCCCAAGAGGCAAGACAGAAAAAAATACGGTGATCCATTTCTATGTCTGATCTAAATTGTTTCTCTCCTGTGTTTATGACTTAAAAAGATACTTTACACGTAAAACACTGTTTGTCTATCATTTAGTTACATTGAATTCCTGAAGAGAAAATTGTGGATTAATTGACATAAACAGGGAACACGTTTAACAACAGCAAAATTATATCAAACCATAAATTTACAAATTCTCACACAACTCGTACAATATAATCCAAGTCTAATTTATCCAGTTGTATGCTCAGTACTTAACAAAAACGTGCATTTTAATAATACGTAAAAAATAATAATAATAATAAAAAAAAAAAACTTACTAAATTATCCTGGCAGAACTTTTTTGTTTTCCCACCTGTTTCACAGATTTTTGTTTGTTTATTTTCAATGGCATTTAGATAATTCTGGCAAAAACTCTTTTTGGATTTGGTTAGAATAACGTGTTGTCAAAGTTAGATTCTTACTATCTTTACTCAAAGTTTGAGATAAATTAATTAAGCTTAAATAAATACACATCCCTGTGATCGGCTGGTGACGTGTCCAGGGTGAACCTCGCCTCTCGCCCATTGTCAGCTGGGATAGGCTTCAGCCCCCCTGCGACCACCAACAGGATAAGCAGTTATGTAAAATGGATGAATGAATGAAATACAAATCTAATTATGGAGAAAATAAAGTTTATATCATAACTACGGAAGCCCCAAGAGGCAAGTGACAAAAAAAAATCTGGTGATATAAATTGTTTTTTTCTTTGACCTCAGTGGAATTTTTTTTTGCCAGGATAAGTTTTCCAAGTTACCTTTGTTTTTCATCTGCAAGGAGATATAAAAACTCACCTGTAAAAAAACATGAATGCTTTTAGTCTTTTTTAGAACATGGGGTAGTGCAGCAGAGTATTACAATGACAAACATGTAGGAACATGATTCTGAAATAAAAATTACCTGGCAAAACCTTTTTTCACCAATTTTACAGATGGAAAAGAGGTAACTTTGAAAAAATCTTGTGGCAAAACTTTTTTTCTCACCTGTTTCACAGATGATTTTTTTCAAAGATGATTTTTTTCTTTTTGAAGGATAATCTGGGCAAAAACTTTTTTTGATTGGGCAAGAATGAGTCTTTCTGATAATGTTGTCAAAAGTATCAAGTGAATTTACTCTGTCTTTACTCTCAAAATTCGAAAGAATTTAGTTTAGCTTTGCCAAAAAATAATAATAATCACAAATGTATTTTTGAAACAGCGTTCACATCATAACAGAAGGCCTGAGATGCAAGTGAGAAAAGAAATGGTGATTGATTTTCTCTGTCTGATATAAATCATTTTTTCTCCTGTGTTCAAGACAGGTGGAAAAAAAGATTTTGCCATGATAATTTTTCTAGATTACTTTTTCATCTGCATCTGAAAATTAAACCTCACCTTGAAAAAAACACAAACACTTTTAGTCTGATTTAGAACATGGTGCACTTCAGACTTGTGGGTGAAATGAGTATCACAACAACAAACTTTTTTCTACCTGTTTTCACATATGGGAAGAAAGTAACTTAGAAAAATGATTCAGCCAAAACCATTTAAAACCATACACAGATTTAAAAAAAAAAAAACAAAAAAAAAACTAAGATTATTCTGAATTTCCACCTGTTCTTCAGTCATAAAAACAGGGGAGAAAACAATTTAGATCATACCTAGAAAATGGGAACACAATTTTTTTTTTTCTTTTTTCATTTTCCACCCAGGGCTTCTGTACATAACATCTCAGGTTAATTTAGAAACTCATTAAAAGTGTGCAACAAACCATCAGTCGTTGCATTTTACCAACTGATCAAAAAAATTAATTCATGCAGAATTCACTTTCACTAATTTGTTTTTAAAGCCATCTATAAAGTTGTTTTTCTATCAGGGGATTTAATGTCGCTGCACAAACTATTCAATGCCAACTTTTTTGACAAATCACCCGCTGTCATTATAAATCCGTCTGGTCTGAGTTTGGCTCAAGATCTTAAACCAAAGTCTCGAGTCTAAATGGGCTTAAGATCTTTGAGGCATCAACCAGCCCTGACCGGAGTGTGACAATCAACTCAGCACATTAGCATCAGGATTTCAGCCTGTTTAGTTTCATGGAAAGCTCATGCTGCGTTTGATTTGTACTCAGTGTCCTGGAAAAACCTCATCTTTAAAAAATACAAAACTGTTTCACTGCAGCAGATTATCAGACAGCAGGTTGGTCCACTGCTGTAAACATTCAGCTTATCAGTCAGATTGTTTCTCTGCAGTTTCAAAATGATGCAAAAAACAAGTGGGATGTTGCAGATCGGGAATCAAGATGAATTTTTGTTAAGGACTGAACAGTTTGCTAAATGACTCATTTGTTCTCTTTCAAAATGGAGCAACTTTCCCATAATTCTACAGTCTAAAATTTGCTTTGACTGAATACTTTTTCAGGAAAATATCTGTAAATTAACCTATACTCACGACGACAAAGGCCTCAGACACATGCCGCTTCTTTTACCACCTAGAAAACATTGATGCCTGTTGGTCCAACTTTCCAGGTCATGGAGAAAGGTTGTGCCTGATATTGCTAAGTGACCACAGCCAGCTAACTGGTTAAGTACTACTTACTAGAAATCCTGACTTCTTCCAGGAGTCATTTTTTTTAGTGTGAAATAAAATATTGTAAGTGTAAAGCTCTGGGTAGCTCTGCAATAAAATGGCCAACTTCTGCTTTATATTTACCATGGACTGATATTTACCAAAGAGAGGAAATATAGAAAGTTCAATTGTGTTAATCTCAGGTGCTTGGAAACTAGTTTAGAGTAAAAATTAACTAAGAAATCTTTTTGAACAACTCTTTTCAGTGCCCAATGTGCATCGGGTCAGCCTGTTAGCCTCTTTGAGGGTTCATGAATCCTTACCGTGTTGTAAGTGTAGTGTGGCAACAGCACTGAATGAACAAGCGAGGACTGATTAAAACTTGAGTTGAGTCCTCTGCCGGCCAAGTCCAATAGTGTATTTGTATTTTTTGGATAGTCATTCTTTTGACTTTAGTGTTTAAGAGCTGTAAGTTGGAATGTGGAGACAACATGGATGCTACATACATAGAAGATGTGTTGCATTTTATTCTCAGTGTTTAAATCAGGGATGTGTAAAGAGAACTGGATACAGCGCTGCAGAAAGGCCCCAATCCATTCCTGTAAAAGTTGCTCAGTGGCACGTGGAGCCAAAAAAGCTCTATTTCCACGTTATGAAATTACCCAGGTGATCAGCACTGTTTCTGCATCATTGGGCCCATAGAATAAGTGCAATAGACACTTCTGCCAGCGAACTGGCTATTTCCATTAGCGCTCCACTAACTTGAAAGAGAATAAAATGATTTCCTGGTACAGCTCTTCTAGATTTTCAAAATGTTATCTTACCGGATGGATCGAATCCTGATAGTGAAACAAGTCATTATGCAGAGGTAAACATTTTAAAAAAAAAATTAACCACTGATTTACAGACATCTCTTTTCCAATGTATGTCAATGGAAAACAGTCTTGTGGGGCCCAGTGGTATCATGTGATGGACTCTGGAGTTGTGAGTTTACTGTTTGGCCACTATAAAATTTGTCTTCAAAGTCCAGCGCTGTTCTTGGGGGCCTGGTTAAAACAACCCATTTATAACAAAGAGCAAAGGAAACAGATCAGGTGAGCCATGAAATGTGATCAGAAACTAATGAGCTTCAGAGTTAATCAATGCATTAAAATAAATGTTAATCCTTATAATTGTAAATTTATACATGACTGGTAATGCATTGAGGACAAGTCTTTTTGGGTGCAGCACTATCTGTCGAACTTATATGTACTAATACAGTGTCATGGAGGAAATGACACCATATTTTTTAAAAAATATCAAAATTCAAAAGGTTCGATACATTTACATGTATCAAACTCAAAGGAATGAACTTTTGAATACTCCTATGGTGCGTTTACATTGAATAGTTTTGAGGGTGCAAAAAATCATGGCATGTGTCTGTCTCCAAACACGGTTTGTCTGTGCAAAATAAAATATAGAATCTACCAGGGAGTTATTAAAAAATAATTGCAGCTGTGTAGGTTTTTCCAGAACACTGACATGATGATGCTAAAAGCTTTTCTGCTTCCTTTTTCCACTAAATTATATGAAGAGTTTCATGTCAAATGTGGGGAATTCAATTCTGACTCTTATTTGGACATCATTTTCTAGTCTACTTTCTTGATAAGAAATTAAATGGAGTGTTTAATGATTCGACACATTTAATTTTCTGGTGCAGATAAATCCAAAGTACAAAATTATTTTGGCCTTTTATCTTACAAAGTACTGTGTAACAAATTTAAGATTTTGCAGAAAGTATCTTATTACCCAGTTTGAAAGGAGACTCTTCAAATCACAACACCATGTTATTTATTTATTTATTTATTGACTTTGTTTTCTGGTTGATTGTTTTATCTTATCTAAGACCGTTTTTTTAAAAAATTATTATTATTATTTATTATTTTTTGCACGCTTTAGCTGCGCCCAGGAGGAGAAGCGGAGGCCGAGCGAGACGGCTCTTTATCCATTTTGCACAGAGAAACAAACAAAAAAAAACAAACCGCGTCTAGCAATAACGGTTTGCCGATACCTTTTAAGTGAGTTCTTAGGAAACACTTGACTTCACAGAAGCGTTTTCTCACTGTATGAATCTGTGGAGTCACGTTTGAAATGCACAACAACACTTGGAGCGTTTGGTGACCTCTGATCTGGTTTTCCTGGTGCAGCACTGACGGTGTTATCAGTACGGACACACAGGTGAATACAGCGGCATGAGGCTGC